AACTAAATTATATCACATATATTCAAATAGTTAAATATTTCTAATCCTATTTAAAGTAGGATTATATTTTACTATTTACCAAATCAAGATATTATTATTTTTAAATAGATAAATATTTTGAAATGTGACTAAATCTAATTAAAAAATTATTTTATATTTGTATAAATCTAGCCGATTGACTCAAACATGCCTCGATAAAATTAATTACTTTGTATAAAAATCCCAATTTTACTGTTACTATTTAAGTAATTATTGCACGTAAGAAAACCAAGAAAAATTGGAAAAATAAATTACGACACCTCATAAAATGAATCATATTAAGCTCAGAAAACTAATATATATATTGTCGTATTCTATTTTATATATCAAAAAATATAATAATCTATATTTTCTAATGAAAAACCAAAACAAATAAGTTTTATGAAAAATATTATTGAAATTTTAAATTGCATAGATAGGAGAGAGCATAAAAGTATGTAAATAATTGTAAAAATTTGGATATTTAAACTTAAATTTATTCAAACTAAAAAAATTACATGTATATTATAATATCCCAATAAATAAAGGTATTTGATTTATTGTTTTATCTATTTATATTTAAATTAAAATATCTAATTAATAAATACAAAGAAATAAGTTTTAATTTTAAAAAACTGTTTGACATATGGCAAAATTTAACTGGATTTTTTTTAACATGTGTCAAAATCTAATCGATTAACTGATATATATATATCACGATTTTGTTAATTATTATGTTTGTATAAGAAAGTTGGTGTCTGTAATTGCGAAGTAATCAGAAATAAAGACTAAAGCAACAAATAAAATAAACTATGTTCCACCAATTAGCAGCTTTCGACTTCATATTAGAAATCGTTTTTTCTGCCTTTCTTTTTCTTTTTGGCTGTCTCTTGGAAATTTTTTTCTCCGGCGAGAAGAGATTGTCGGGGGAAAAAAGCAGAGCTGAGTGGTTTAAGTTTCTATTGAGAAAGTAGTTAAAGAAGTGAGTACTATTGTCTTCTCCGATGGCAGTTGCGTCGGCAAGAGCTCGTTCAGACTATGATTACCTCATCAAGCTCCTCCTCATCGGCGATAGCGGTAAGTCTCTGCATCTTCTCTCAATCTCTATCTCTCTTCTTCTTAAGAACTAAACGATGTTCATAAACTGTTTGGTTTTTATCTGAGAATCTTCGTTCTTTCCTGTTTTTTGCGATCGGAATTAGGGTTTGTGATTTTGAATTGTTCCCGTTTGCTTTTTTTGAGTATTGTAATCGACAAAGTAGATGAGGAAAACTACACAGTCTCTGTTGATTTATAAGTGTCGGTTTAGTTCCATTTTGGAAAATTTGGCTCAGTCTCATGCTAAGATTGTGAGGAACTAATGCAAGATTATTACAACTTGATGGTAGAAGTGGTTCTGATAAAGTTGTATACTTTGTCAATTTTATAGTTTTGTTGTGGACTTTTCTTCTTTTTCTTTTCCTGCTCA